CAAGCTCACAAGCATCCCATGCATGTTGTAATTCATTATGAATTCACTAAAAGAAGGAGGAAGTGATGATAGAACTAAGTCATTAATTAATTCAGCATCCATTGTGAACCCTAGACCCTCTAGCTTCTCAATGAGCGCTATCATCTTCAGTACATGGCGGTTAAAACACATGCCTTCAGTCATCTTGCATAGGAACAATTCCCTAAAGGTCTCATACCTCTCATGTCTGCCTTTAATATCATACAACTCCCTGAGATGCAGGATAATAGAGGGGGCATCCATATGCTCGTGCTGTTTACGCAGTTCAGGCGACATGGATGCCAGCATGATGCAACAAGCCAACACATTATCATCCATGTGTTGCTTGTGGGCCTCGAAATCAAATTCCGTGAACCCATCTTCCCCTTCCTTAGGCGCAATAGGTAAAGCAGTGTCAAGGACATAAGCAACTTTTTCGGCCCGCAGAACATTTCTGACGTTCCGATACCAGTCCATAAAATTAGGACCGGTCAGTTTGTTCGTATCGAGTATTGAGCGCAGTGACAGTGAATTAGTCATACTAAAAAAACTGAAAATGTAAAGATAGATTAATTAATATATATTGTCGTGTAACAAATTATTAAAGACTTTAAATAATTTGCCCCTCCCACTATTTTATCTAAGTCAATGACCCTTACCATTTGACTTAGGGTTTATCTACTTTTAGATTTTACCTTAGTGGGATTAAGAGTGCGATTATTTATTTTAACCCCCGTCTGAGACCGCAAGATTAATTTAAATAATGGGTTGATCCTCATCAACAGTATCTCATACCCTCTCTTAACATTAGGTTGACAACTCCTTGTCACTTAGTGGTGCATCTCATGCAACCAACCTAGCATTATTACCCTAAGCACATAAGCCCGGCTGAGCCTGCAACTTATGTCTCAGTTAAGTATTAACCAGCACCCTAAGTGTCTAACACTTCTAATACTACTCTTACTCAACGAAACAGTGGGTCCCAACTGAGTTGTGGAGCACCACTATGTAGAGGAGGTTCGAGTAATATTGGTGGTGGGAGGTAATCATATGCTTAATAATTTATTCCTTTTAAGGGTTCCTTTTATTTAGGGATTTTATTAGGTCTCATCAAACGCATTAATATATTATCATGCTAGTCGTAACCTATGTCATACATCTATCGGTTTAGACTAGTCGAAATTGGACGTGCATAATAATACACACAAGCGCGCTTTGTCCAATTCATGCATACTAGTCGTTTGAAACATAAAAGCATACATGCTAATAAAACAGTTTTATTTGAGACGGTCATGGTGCTCGTGCATTCGTCCTTCCGCTTCTCAAGCCATGGCTCCTTGTCGTCTAAACGCCACTAGCCTATTTCTCTAATTACATATAATTGAAGAAACTCCAAAACATCTTTGGAGGGACAAATACAAAATTTAAAATTCAAAATTACATTTTAATTCAAATCGAACAAAATTACACCTTTAATTTAAAATATAAAATTTGAAATTTAAACTCGGGCACCATGACCATCCCCTTCCAATTTGTACCTGAAAATACAAATAACTTGCAAGCACATAATATAACATATTATATAACATGTTCATCCATACGTCAGATCATTTTAACATTTAAAATATCAACACAAGAATCATGATTCAAATTTTCTTAATGGCCGAATTATATAACAATTAATATAATTTAAATTTTGATGACTCTTTCTCAAAGAACACAAAATTAAACCACACATGGTATGGCCGAATCACATATCACATATGATTAAATTTTTAACAAAATTTCATGTCTTTCTCATGGAACAATTCACAGCGAAAATTAAGAAAACAATCAAGGTACTCATAGTACCCTTCATGGCCGATTTTATCCCTTTCAAAAAGGTGTTTCTTTTAAAAACTTTCACAAAGAAAAGAAACAAAACCATGATCACATACAGACATATGAACATAGCAATCACATTAACATGTTCATAAAATAAAAACTTTAACGATTTAAAGCATGGTATTTCGAAATCCATATGCTATGATTCAAGTTTTAATTCTTTAAAGAATTTTGACCGTAAAGAACAAGTTTTTACTAACAAGGTACCATCACCTGCCGATGGTAAAGCAACCGGGCTCTGATACCACTTGAAAGAAACTGACCTTAAAGGTCGAGGCATGTGAGAGGGAAAAACAAAATTTTTCGAGCGGAATACCACATACCATATCAAGAAACATGCTTTAGGGCATGGATGTTACCTTGTTTGCTTTCCAAAACTTGAGGATGATCAAGATGAGGCTTGAAGATGCAAGCCCTCTAATGTTGATCCACACCACCCTTTGTCAAGACGGAAGAACTCTTCTTCAAGGCCACCAACGAAAACACCAATGGAGGCAAGATATGCGCCCAATGTGTGAAGGAGGAGGCTAGGTCAAGGTGTTTAGAAGAGTGACTATTCAGCAAGAATAGACACAAAAGTGGCGCATGGTTTTACTTTGAAAAGGGCTAGGTTATTTCGAAACTCTCTTAAGAAAAACCTGACAAAAGGAACCCACAAGGAGATGAGAGAATAATCTTATTAAAATCAGATTTTCTTCACTTAAATAAAGCCCTATGTAGCGCACACTAGGGGGGATGAGTGGAGTTGTTACAAAATTCAAATCTTGTCAACAACCTCCTCTCACATCCTCATGATATCAAGTGAATATCTCAACAAGAATCTGACTCAACAACCATCATATGGTCAGCCATATGGTGCGCCCCACTTGGCCTCATAACAGTCCAGATACGTTGAGCAGATGCATTCAAACTTGAACCAACTGTCTCCCTTATTCTCTCAACAAACCAAATCTGACTGGAGCTCATTTGGTTGATCCTATGACCATCATCAGATGCCAAAATCAGCGCCCCATATCCTCACTAGAAGATTCTCAAAGATCTCCTCTTGATATTTGGGATTTGTTCCAACAAGATCTTATCTTATCCTTTTGTTATGAAACAACTTTTCATAGCCAATTCAAATTCGAATTCAAACGTTCAAATATTTAAATTTTAAATTCCAAATTCAAATTCAAATTTCAAATTCAAAATTCAAATTCAAAATTTCAAATTTCAAATTTCAAATTTCAAAATTCAAATTTCAAAATTCAAATTTCAAATTTCAAATTCAAAATTCAAAATTTAAACATTTGATAATTAATTTAACTAATTAAATTAATTAGTAATGTCTTGGACCATCCAACCTCATTAACTAACCATGCGCCCTTTTTCCCTTTTGGTGGGCTTCCAAACTTCTTCTTGGGCTAACAACCATTATTAGGCCCGATACCTTTAATGCTATATTGTCATGACAATAAGGTGTTAGTGTGTGACCCATTAGGCCCAACATAGCCACTGACATAAATGGGCTTGGGCCCAATAAGCCCACAACCCATCTAATGACAACACAGAGCACTAGCAATGCTTTGTTGCCCCAGAGCTAGTTAGGTTAATGACATAATCATCCTATTAAACATATTTGGTTGCCGTATGTATTTCCTTTCGTCTCGGTTACCTTCCCATAAAACTAGGGTAAGGAAACGTATCAACCCTTGCGGTTTAGGGTAAACTTTATTCGAAATAGGGAATCTTCAATTTACTGACTCTAAAGGCAGATCATCTCATGATCTCTTTTACTATGCATAGATTCCCGAGTCCCTGTAAATGTCATCCCGATTTCTCCGGTTTATAGATAACCTAATCTCTCACAGAGATTTGACGAATTCCTTCAGCTTATCACCCTAGCCCTGTGCTCTTTCAGGACAAGCCCAACAGTATACCTATGAGTCTCCATGTTTCAGGCAGACGAGGTATACAGTCAAAGCATGCCTTCTAGAACACAATCTAGGTAATAACTTCTGGTCTAAGGAAAGACATACCCAAATATAAAGAGACTACTCTAATGATACTCTCTGTGAGATTTCCTCATGACTTTAGATCCACCCACGACTTTAGCTATGAGTCTCTTTTGTGGGTCTGTTCAGTGCGAGCTATACCCTTATAGATCCACCCACGACTTTAGCTAAGACATCTCCATATCTGTAGCTCATGAGGTCTTTACCTTGCATCCGAATACAAGTAGATAAGTCGTGCTAGTCTTACCCGAGATCACTGATCCCCATTCTCAGTGTCTCTAGACTAGGAACATAAAATTAGGAATAAACATCCAGTATCCTTGAATCCTCATGATCGTGATCTCATCACAGATACTCAAGAGATACCTATTTTATTCCAAAGGGTTTATCCAGTTACTCATATATAATATTAACAGTAATATCGAGACAAAATATGAAACAGGATAAAGAATGCTTTTATTTATTTGCGACAATACAAAGGTCCACTTATGTCCTAATCTAATCAAAAGATTGTCTCTAGGACATCCATATACTAACAAATATTGGTGTCCATTTCCAACAAAGGGTTTGCGGGTGGTGCCAAGTAATATGTGTTTTTAGAAAAAATATTAATATTTGAACTTTTAAAAATAAAATTTGTTGATAGAACTTCTTAATTCTTGAAAACTATAATATTTGTTAAATGAATATATATATATATATATATATGTATTGAAATGAGTACAATTCAATTCATACTTAGCTTTATTTTCTAAAACAATCAAATTAAACCTATTTCCAAAGCGGGTTCATATTAGCCTTATCTATTTAATTTGTCTATTTTAGTCACTTAATTTGTCAAATACAAACAATATCATCCTTATAATGATGTCAGGGAATTAATGTCTCTATAACACTATAGTGTATATGACTGAAAAATCTACAGCTTCGTAAATAAATAAATATGAAAATATCTCTACAGACCATGAGCAATTTCAATAGACCTCCTCTTCTTCTCTATTGTACATTTCTATCCTTTACATCACCATGAGAATTTCCTTCAAAGGTATGTGCAATATTCTCTTATATGCAGAAGATCCCTATGTACTCTTCTTTTTCATCATCTCATATATCAAGACTTCCTCCTGCCATAGTGTCAGTTGGAGGATCAATTGAAATCCAAAGCAATGCAATTATAATAGAAAGCAACCCTGACCACACATAAACAATTGTGGGTACCCTTCCTCTCCTACCCATCAACCCTTTAGCAAAAGGGTACATATGAGACAGCACCCAGAAACTAAAGAACAAACTTCCCAGTAGCTTATTCCACTGAGGTATAACACTGTATACGGTCCTTAACAACCCCATGATTACAGCAATAAGGTTAACAATGATAATTGTTAGTGGCATTATGAAAAGACTAGTCCATTTCACAATGTAAAGATCAGCATAGACATCATCTTCATCTTCTCCTGCTGACTTAGATGTTAAAGTAAATGAAATCTCTATGCCAGCTATGACCTTAAGCAAACCTTGTATGACAGCAACAAGGTGTGCACTAGTGCCACCAATGACCCAAAACTGTTCATTACGCCACCATTCCTCAAGGGCAATGCCTGACCACTTTACTTCAAGGAGGGAGAGAAGAGTGAGGCAAATTGTAATGAGCAAAAGATATGTGAGGAAAGCTACATTTAAGCCTTGGACTATGAATTGTCCTGAGAAAAGGGACATTGCGGGAATGAAGCAATATACGACCAAAAACAAGGAGGTAAAAGGGTAGATGCCAACATTGAGATATGCTATTCGCTGTAAGAATTTGAGGCGTCTTGTTGCAAAAATTGCGTTGTTTTTTGAGAAGAAAATCTCAACAGAACCTGTGGCCCATCTTAGCACCTGGTGTAGACGATCAGTGAGATTTATAGGTGCTGTGCCCCTGAAAGCATCTCTCTTTGTGATGCAATAAATAGATCTCCACCCACGGTTATGCATCCTATAACCTGTCACAACATCCTCTGTCACTGACCCGTAAATCCAACCTATCCTATCCCCCCATTCTGTCTTGTCCTCATACCTGCATTAATACATCAAAATCATGAGCCATTACCCAAGGTTTTCAAACTTTATTTCCTTATACATCACCAAAATGAGTGTTTGATAAAAGGAAAATGCATAATAGCTAAAAAATTCTTTACCAGAATTTGACATTAAAAAGTTGACATACTATCACAAACCAACCAATTTCTTCAAAAGTTTTAAGTTATTATATGAATAAATACCAATGATTTGTATATTTATATATCTAATATGTCCCTTCACGCAAGAGCTTTCTGCGCTTGAAGGGTGGACGATGTTCAATGATCAAACTCCAGATCACTAGGTCACAGAGGTTTTGATATATCATACCATGAATCAACTTTCCCAAGGGTGAACAATGTACAAAGATCGAACTCTAAACCACTTGGTCTTAGAGATTTCGATACAATGTCATGTTGAAGGAAATGAAAGGATGAGTGATGATACTTTATTTTATTCAATAACAACCCTTAATCTAGCTAAATTTTTCAAAATCATGAATAATTTTGTCTAGCTATACAACACTACTCTTGATGAAATACTTAAAAAGAGAGATAACCAAGCAAATTACCAGCAAGAGATGACAGCAATTGCCTCAGCGACAGTGGGTGCATCCAATGGTGGACGTGGAATGAGCAATGCTCCTGGTGGTCTGCCATTCTTGACAGATTTGTGATCAGCAAGTGGCCTTGCTTGGAACTCAGAAACAGGTATGGTATCTGTGAACATAGATGAGCTTCCAAACTTCTGAGGGAAACCCAATTCTGAATCAGATGTAAGGGGTTGCCTATCATCATCAAGACGTGACCTTGCCTGCAGTGCATCACGGTTCACCTTGGTTTTTACTCTTCCAAACACACCTGTGTGCTCAATGAATCTCGGTGGTTCAAATCCATAAAGTGCATACCTCCTAAACATGCAACCTGTCCCCACATACATTGGACCTTGAAGACCATCCAATGCTCTCATATTTCCTAATGAGTTATACATTGTTAAACACAGGTAGATACTAACAAAGTATATATTGGAAACACTATCACTACCATTTAAGCTATAGGTGAAAGGTTTTGAGTTTTACCATCAAAGAAGACTGTGTTGTGGTTTGCATATCTATCAGAAGGATCAATCCCTTCAAATCTTTGTGGAAACTGTATGTAACATACGCGGTCACCACCACGGTCCAACATGAAGCACATTCCCTCCTTCAAAGCAACAGAATTGTATACGTAGTGGTCACAATCCAAATTGAGTATAAAGGGGCCATTGGACAATATTGCCGAGGCTCGGACCATGGCATTCATGGCTCCTGCTTTCTTGTTATGGTCATACCCTGGTCGCTTCTCTCTGGAGACATATGCAAACATTGGAATCCTGATGTCTACGCCTGTGAAATCTAGCTTTTTCTCATCTGCAAAACCCATTACTGGGTCATGCTCTGGGACCTTACTCATCACCTGTAAGTAATAAACAAGGACATTCTGTTTTAACTATGACCAACTTCAACTTATCAAGTTAACATGAATATAAATTGATGGAGAAAAAGTGTGAAAGGCCTCTTAATGGAAGGGGCGTGTTACAGATATAAGCCTATCCTTAGAAGTTTACACAGGCACCATCGACGGTCTATCTTGAGCTATTGTATGCTTCTTTGTATAAACCTAATAATTAACATGGAGGAATAAAATGCAAAATGTGGTTGCTAGGTCAAGTATTGAAGCAGAATTTCGAGCCATAATCCAAAGTATTTGTGAATTGTTGACTTAAAATCATTCTTGATTATCTCAAGGTGAGAAGTGAAGGTTCTAAGCAGCTTTCATTATGGTTAGGTATAATATAAAAAGTAAAAACTATTTATATGCCTTCACCAAAAATTTACATTTAACCATGGTAAGAGCTTCATCACCAATTTATATCTCTAACAAAAAGAGAAAATAGATGTATATGTAGTACCTGCAAGATTCCAGCATGGTCACCCTTTGAGTGATCAGGGGTAGAGTTGAGCCATGTCCCTGGCCAGTGAGTGCCGTCAGCCATCCATGTAGCTTTAGGAACATCAATGGGGTGATCTGGGGGTAGAACTCCCCCATTTTTCTCCATAGCTATCTGCTTTTCCTTCTTCTCCTCCTTAGAGTTATACATTTTACTCCTTTCACGTATTACTTCAGGAAGTCCATTGATTCTGACCTTAAATTCATCATACTCTCTTTTGATCCATCTCCTGTCCTTCACAAAATCAGGCCTTTTCTTGTTCTTTGTGGGGTCTTTTTTTATGTTGAAGTAGGCATCAGGGTTCCTTGGCTCAATATTGTGTTTCCGACAAAAAGGTACCCAAACCTGTTAATACATAATCAAGAAACTAGTTGATGTTACATATCACAATCAATCTAAACTTGAGTAAAACTTGTCACATGTTTGATATACAACATTCCTGAATTCTTGGCAGTGACTTATTATTTGCCTTATAACTTTAATTTTTGGTAGCTTATTAAAGTTTTAACAGCTTGAGGTGATCATAGTTTATAAGATAATTAAGTACTTTTTCCCTTTTTCCCTTTTTTTTTTTTTTTTTCATTCTTTGCTTTAATGAGTTCCTTGTCCAAGATTTTAAACAGACCTCAGCAAATTTGACAGCTTCAGCCATGGCTTCAAATGTGAGAATGGCACCACCATCATCTGAAATATAGCATGAGATCTTTTCAATTGGGTAGTCAACGCCAAGAATGGAAAGAATAGTGTTGGCAGTGACAAGTGGTGGCTCCTTTTCAGGGTCAGCAGTGGACACAAAAAAATCAACTCCAGGTAAGTCTGAACGACCAGTAGGGTTGGAAGGAGATGGTTGATCAAACTTGTCATGTAAAGCAGCAAGGTCTGTGCTTCTATTTATGGGGTTGAGTTTAGGGAGAATATCAAGAAGCCAAGAGAAAGCAAACCAAATTTCACACACAATTGATATTCCCCATAACCACATTGCATCATAGTTGGGGTTCCGAATTCTCCAAGATAAGAAGAATGCTAGAACTATTATACGGATAACCACCAACAACCTGTTCAAAAGAAAAATTGTGCGTTTGTCAGCAATTATGTACTTAGAATGCAATTATTGTGCACTGAGAATGCATTTTTGTACTAAATGTTCATATAAATGAAAATCCAAAAGGAGGTCACTTAAACATGTTTAAAATAGTGTTCTTAATTTGTAAATATGGGATAGCTTTATATTGGTAAGTAATTTCACTCTGCCACTAAGCTGATATAGTTGGGTAGAATAGAAAATAGTTTAAGGCAAAGTTTTTTTAAGATTTTTTCAAGCGTTTTTCAATTAATTCGCTCGAGCTGGTCAAGACCATAAGAACGGTAAACTCTTCTTAAATCTTTAATACAGCTGCATTTTTAGAATTTAAATTTGAAATCACTTATTAAGTTGGAACAACCCCTTACTAGTTGATTTACGTGTTTGGTGATAGTTTAAGGCAAAATCAGAAGTACTAAGATTATAAAAAAAAGGTAAAGAAAAACACTGAAAGTTATGGAAAACAAAATGTTGTTGGATTTGAAAGAATGCAAATCATGTACATAAGCCTGAAAGGGTATTTAACATTTGTTTAGAACACAAATCATATACATAAGCATCAAATATTGTGACAAACAGGGTATGCTCTAAACCATATGTGGCACAATAAGGCATCATTTGCTATCCTTAATAAGAAAAGTTATAAACAGTGCATACCTGTAAGGACTAAGTACAGCGCCTGGGACTCTAACTTTCCTAGTTAATGGTTTCCATGGTTTGTCCATGAAATCAGACATGCTCATTCCATCGTCCCCAAAAGAATTTTGATCATCCTGCCAAAATGCATTCCCAATCCCATAAGTCCCTTTTGTCTCAAACAACCAACGGTTATGATCAAAATCTTGAGTATGACTCCTCAATAACATGGACTTGTTATTCACTGAATTCAATAGAGACATCCTTCTGTCCATTTTAGAAGCCCCACCGCCGCCGCCACCATCACCACCACCACCATCATTTATTCCTTGTTGTTGAGATTCAGATGCAAACCTTGTTGTCCCATATGATCCAGCTGCACCATCTTGCTTTGAATCAGAGGTTCCTGGTTGATTATCTGGTGTTGGTGGCAACATCACAGTGTAATTGATGTAGTCATTTTGGCCTGCAAACTCACCAGACAAATCTATGTCATCATCTCTTGATAGGCTCAAAACCCTTCCACTTGAAGTTCGCCGTGTAAACTTCACCGCTTGTGGTGGCCGGCCACCCAAAGAGGATGATTTTGGTGGGGAATTTGATGAACTTGTCATCTCTCTGTGTCAATATTTGTTGTTACTTTGTTTTACATTTATGTGTTTAATTAGTTACTTGTTGGAAACCTTTTGAATAATTTGATGACACAATGCATGAATTTGCATGCAACCATTAAGGTTGTTGTTAGATTGTATCAGAAGAACAGAAACAAGAAAGAACATTGTTTTTGAGAGGGGAGGAATTAAATGGTTCGAAAATGGTTTCTATGAGATCTATGCATATTATCCCCTCAATTCATGCTCGGCCTCTCTCACTCTCCTATTTCTCTTTCCTAACAACCTAACAGTTAGGTTGTTGTGTATAACTACATGGTTTTACGGAATCATGCACAAGGACTTCAATTACGTTCACAAATATTAAAAACAATTTTAAATTGTATATTGAACATCTGGATCAAAATGGTTGTTATATTCAACCTACAAGTACGTGTCCCAAAACCAAACGGGAATCTTGACTCCCATCATGTACGTACGTTAATCTTCAACATCTTGACTAGTAATTGTATATATAATATGGGTTTGTTTTTTCTGCACTTAATGCAGATAAGTTATCTACATTAAGTTATCTATATTGAGGTCAAAACGATGTCGGTGAAAATTAAGGTATTTTTGTAATTTTAATTTATTTCAGAATTATAATAGTCTTTATAATTATAATATTTTAATATTTCAACATCAAAACGATATTATTTTAGAAGTAAATGCAGATAACTTATCTGGAGTAACTGCAGAAATATTATAAATATGATACTTTTTAGTTTTGGTTTTTCTTTAATTTGCGTTTGACTTATGGTTTCTGATTGTTTAAAAAATAACCATTATATAATAATGAATAAATATCCTTTTTGGTCTTCAGCAAATTTTACGATACCCGCTTTAGTTCCTAGCAAATAAAAAAATTCATCGTGGTGCTTAAGAAATTCAAAATATACCCATTTTAGTCCTTTTAGGGACTAATATGGATTTTTTTTGAATTTGCGAGGGAACACGATTTCAATTAAATAGATCCATTTTGAATTTCTGAAGGACCACGACGGATCTTTTTATTTGTTAGGGACTAAAACAGGCATCGTGGAATTTGCTGAGAACCAAAAGAGGTATTTACTCTATAATAATCCCTGACGTTAATATAGTTTTATTAAGCGATGATGTGGTGAATGAAATGCTACATCATCAATGCCATGTGTTTGACATGTTATTTATTAATTCCAAATGGAATTAAAATAGTGTCATCTGATAGACATGTGATCTCTCTAACAATCCCCAAACTTGCCCCATTTACCATTAATTTGTTCATTTTCATCGTGATATTCGTTCCAAAATTGCAAAGAGGCGAGGGAAAATATAATTAAAATGGTGTCAATTTGTGGAGAAAATTAATAAAGCATGGTTGGATGATTATTGAAAGCGCTGAGATTTATGAAATCCCAAAAGAAAGATCACAAATCTCACAAAGGAATAAAAAATGCAGTGAATATAGAACCATAAATCTGCCTTGAGTATAAAATTCAATTCAACTTTTTTTCACATCCGGACTTCAATTCAGTGTTAGGAAAAATAGATTAGCCGGTAATTAAGACCCGACAGTCCACCACAATGCGTGAGATACGTCACGTTTTAACTGAAAACCTTAAGAATGATTAAATGCGGACCATATAGGAGTAAAATGATGTATGATTCCAGAGATTTTAGGATTGAGAAAAATTGTAACACCCCGTTCTAGAACCGGCTTGTTAACATCGCATTATGATATTAAGCGCAGTTACAATCACAAGGGTTCAATTAAAATCCGGATAAATTTTTCATTTTAAAACATACCGAACTTATAATACCCAATTCCGTGATCATAACCATATTACATTGCGGAATCAGATAAATTAAGCTTAACATCATGTTCTTATTCCATTTTTAAACCATTAATTTACTTCCTATTCATTTAACAACTTCTACTATATTGTAGATCTCTTCATTAGCTACGCGTGGCTTCACACCGCGATCAAATCGGAGCACTGTAGCCCAAGTTATGACAATCGGAAGCAACACAAGAGAGTGTTGGTCACAGGCCCCGCGCGCTTCAGCGCGCTACCGGGCGCTCAAGCGCGCGTTATCGGGCGCTAAAGCCTCCATCTGGGCGCTTAAGCGCACGGAGGCAGGAAGCATCAGGTATTTCAGTGTAAATGGGCGCTTAAGCGTGCACTAGGGCGCTCAAGCGCGCTATCCTGGGCGCTTAAGCTCCCATTGGGACGTTTTAGCGCGCAGAGACAGAAGCATCTCCTCCTTCAGTGGCTAAGGGCGCTCAAGCGCAGACCAGGGCGCTCAAGCGCGCAACCCTGGGCGCTTCAGCCCCACTCTGGGCGCTAAAACTCGAGGAGACAGTAAGTCTCCCTTCTTTCTGCAGCGAAGGGCGCTTAAGCGCAAACCAGGGCGCTCAAGCGCGCAATCCTGGGCGCTTCAGCCCCCACTTTGGGCGCTCCAACGCGAGGAGGCCGAATGCATTGGCACTCACAGGGGCAGCAGGGCGCTTGAGCGCGCTCCTGGGCGCTTAAGCGCGCTGCCAGGGAATTCCAATTCCCACATTTTTCAAGTCCAATTCTAGGGGAAGATGCATCCCCCTTCCAAACCCCAATGGTTCATACCTCAAAACTAAATCCTAGCACTCATCCAACCTCTCCTCATGAGATTTAGCTAGAATTTGGGCAGCATAACCTTTGTTTTCTCAATGTTTCCCAATTTAAAGAAAAGGTACCTAATTGATTCTCAGCCCAACCAATTCAATAACTCAATACATAACAAGCATGCATATATTGAATTCCAAGTAGGCATCATTTACAGTACATATTCATTACGAATCATGGAACTTAGCTTACAAAATACTATGATCATTCCCTTGGCTCCCATCAACAAAAGAGATGACCAAAGGCATGAGCATAGGCTAATTCCATTCCAATATACTAATCATACATCTATCAATTGGCTATGAATTACAATCCTATACATGTGAGCTACAAAACAACATGTATGATATCAAAATACTGGATCCTCATGCATCAATACTAGTCCAAGTATGGCCACTTGCCACTGGTGGCTCCTGCAGCATCCTTACCTGAAAGGGGGTCCCCACAACACGGGGTGAGATATACGAATATATCCAGTAAACCAGGGGTCCTTGGAGCATCTCTCCACCCCCACAGTTCCATATCAGTGTAATAGCAATAACAATAATAATGCAGTAAATACATATCTATGCAAAGTGCAATAACATCTCCAGGAAAAATCCTTCGAGCTCTCAAGCTGTCCTAAGGAAACTCAGATGCAAATAGTCCTACTGGCCAGCAAACTACCAAGTATGATTTACGCATCGTCATGCAACATACCAACATAGGGAAACACCATCCTATGCCACACCAAATGCATACACATACGTATAACAAAGCATTACACTATTTTATTGCATTTATATACACAATCACAACCTCTACCCTTTCAGGGCTTGGTGGAACAGTCAAGGGAATTACACCCAAGGTCCGAAGGCTTACCTCAAAGCTTCAGCAACCTTAGTTCACCACCAATGTCAACAATACTCTACTCCAAAACCAACACCTACACATGGTGTAATGCAATCAACACATTGCATCCAAGAGTATTTCACAATCAACCATCAACTACTCAATTCAAAACACAACACAAGTATGAGCTTACCAATTCCAATGAGCTACTCAAGCTCCATAGCTTGCTCAAGCGGTTGATCACTCACGGTCGGTCCAAATGTCTCAATCCTAGACATCATTAGGACACAATCATCAATCAACCAAGCCATACCATTTATCACCAATGCAAGAAATCCATTATCAAGCATCATATTCTTGCCATTTTACAAGTATACTCATTTAGCTATCTAAGCTCATTTTCACCGATTAAACGTCGTTCCTAGCATTTTTCACAACATGCTCTAAGCTTCATTCTTCCTAGAACATAGCTAATTTAACAACATTTCATCACAAACCCCAATTTACTATTCATTGAACCCTAACTCATGCAATTTTCCATGAAAATAAGGTTCAAGGGGTAGAATCTTACCACCAATGGTTGCACAACCAAGGATTGATGGCTCCTCAAGCTTCAATGGAGGTTGAAGCACTCAAAACCCCAAATTTCTACAAAGGGCCGAATTTTTGAGGGGCAATATCCCTCTCCACAATGCTCCCCACTCAAAACAAAGCTAGGATTATGAAAGAGGAGGAGATTCTAAGCGATTTAGGCTTTTGAATCACTCCAATCGGTTAAGATTTGCTCTCTCTCTCTCTTCCTCCCTTCCTTCTCCCTCCTTTCTCCTTTCTTCTTTTCTCTGATGCTGGCGACGGAAAAATGGGGTGGGAAATGGGTTTCTACTTGCTTTGGCCACTTAACATTAGTTAAGTGGAATCAAGTGGGTATTGGTTCGTCTATTTATTTAACTCCAATAATTACCAAACTTTACCCAAAAGTCTGGAATATTATTCCAGGAATATTTATAATTTTATTTTTATATTTTGGGCACTTTCGCCAGTACCCATTTATACCCCTTAATTTTCACTGACTACACATTTAACTCCAAAGTGACTCAGATTCATTTCATTAAGCCTTATACTTAATTTTACTCACTAAAACATGCTTAATTATTTAATTACATGTAATTTGCTAATTAATTAGGTTAGGGCTATTATAGTCACCCCACCTTTTAGCGATTTTGTCCGCAAAATCAAGAACGTACCTGTCCTTAAACTCAGGATATTGCCGGAGAAGCTCATCTTCCCGCTCCCAAGTGGACTCTTCAGGCGTCCTTCCTTCCCACTGGACTTTCACCATAGGAATAGATTTATTTCTCAGCTTCTTCTCATCTCTTTCGAGTATCTTCAGTGGCCCAATATGAGTCTTCAAATTCTCCCGGATTTCAACATTATCAAGTTGAACCACATGAGAAGGATCGACTACATATCTCCTCAGCTGAGAAACATGAA